TAACCTTTGAGTTTTGCTAGAAACCAGACCTCTCCTATATGCTTTTAGTCCATTTGATTGTCACTTGGGATGACTGATTTTATTACTAGTTGTGTCATGCCAGATAGCACTTGCAATAATTCTGAGAAGGTAAAGGAGCCAACACAGAGCTTTAAAGATGAGATATTGCTTTTGTTGGCCAGTGGGGGATGAAAACCCCTCAAAGTGAATGTTAATGACCTATTTCTCAGCTGCATAATACATGCTTAGCATCTCCCAGAATGGCTTTTTCATGTCATGTTTAGCTTGGTGTTTAGGTATGAGTTGTCATAAAGTCTGCAATATAGTAAACTTTGCAATTAACTGTTCAGTGAAATAAAAACACTTCATTAAGATGTCAGCATTAATTGTGGCTTTCATTCTTGTTGTCTTAAATGTTGGCTGTGGGTTGCAATAAAATATATGTGCAGATATGTTAGCTTGCATTCTGTTGTGCTGCCACAAATTGTGGCAGTATTTCTGTTGCTCTCTAAACCCAGAATAATAGTGATTTCTTGTGGTTAAATTTCTTCAGCAGTTGCATATGCATGCATGCTCCCTCCCTTCTTCTCTGCCTCCCTGATGGTAAATTCCAGTGATAGTTTATCCATAATGAAATATAAGCACAAAGTCTCTAAAACATAATTCTGTCCTCAGGTTTTGGTGGCCAGACAAGGTTACAAAATCCCCTGTCAAGTAGTGCTGGCATGTTGACATTGTTACATCATCATACCTATGTTCTTGTTATTATATATGTTGGACTTGTAATAGCTACAGTATATAAAGTGAAAAGGGACTAAATTGGGTATGGTGGCAGAAAAGATTGAAGGAGTGGCTAGCTTAGTTGGTATCCTAGTCTTATCATAAAGTTATGATAGCAAAATTTGTAGGAAAATAGCTAGGTGGCAGCATCTCTTCTCCTAAGGATACTCTTTCTCCTGTGAACCTATGGTGTGGAATTGAAAATTGGGGCTAGTACTTGTACTTGTTGAACCCAATCTATTCCTTTGAGCTGGAGTACCACATGTTAGGATATTGCAGGATTCTAGCACCATAATATATAGCTAGGGTTGTCCCACGGATAAAGCTGCTTGGATGGGAAGCATGCATGCTACTGCTGGGAGATCGCAAAAGTTCCATCTTGAGTTTTGGCGTTGCTTAGTGAAGCAGGAAATATGGGTTTCACTGTTGCTTCATTTTGCATCTAAAATGGCCACCTGGCCAAACACCCAAAAGAGAGTTTTACCTTGAGGTGGAGAGGCACCAGTGCAAACTGAGAAGGACCTCCTATAGTGTGCTAAATATCTTTCGCCAACATTTTTCAGTTATAATCTTTGTCAAAACTCTGTGTTTTCTGTATGATCAAATTCAAAAAGCTTCCTCTTGTTTAATTCCCTTTCCAGAGGTACCAATCAGACAATTTGGAATCCTCATTTTTATGCTGAGACATTAAATAAAGTCTTTATTTTCAGAGGGAAGGTGGCTGTCTCCTCCAAGACAAGTGCTGGCTTCCTCCCAGTCTCTGTGAAAGAGAAGAGGCAGATAATTATGACTGCAACGGTAGCACATCCTACTACCTTCTTTGACCCTGGCATTTTTGTGCCTAAAGCAGCTGTGGTTTGGGCTTCCAGGTGATTTTAACTCTCCTGGTCACATATGAAATTGACTATGTAGAAGGTGGTGGTCTAGGATCTCTTCTCAGCTTTCTTGTGCATGCCATATGGGAGACAGTATGGAATGGGTTAGGAATGTCACCATGGTGTCCTTGCTGTTGCTACGTGCTGAATAGTTCCATATGTGCCTCACTAATAGGAGGCATTGTTGCAGGTAGCCCTGTGCCTTAACAAGTGGCAGTGGACTTGCTAGAAATGGCCAGTATTCAAGTGTTCAACTCACTTGAGTGAAATGAGATTTTCAGTTTTTCTGCTATTGCGTATCAGTTCTGTTTCACTCAGAGAGACAGACAGAGAAAGAGAGAGAGAGAGATTTCAATGACAGGTGTATTTTCTCACAAAATTCCTAATCACTTGGAAAACATTATTTACATCTTTGCAACTGGCATGCCTACCTAATATTGCAGTTGGCATCAATTCACTCTTACCAATGAACTTATGAAATGCAAAAATCTCTGCAGGAAAAAGAATAAACACATGAAAACAAATCAGTTTTGGAAAATTTCCTGTGTGACAACATGGGCTGATAAGAGAGAACTTGTTCACACCTCCCAGTGTTCACAGCTACATTGGTGGCTGTTACATGGCATCAAGTCTTCTCTGACTTGTGGCAACTGTATGAATGAAAGCCATCCAAAATGTCCTATCATGACAGCCCTGCTTAGATCTTGTAAATTCAAGGCTATGGGTTCCTTTACAGATTCAGTCTATCTCATATTTGGTCTTCCTTTCCTTCTTCTGCCTTCAACTTTCCCTAGTATGATAGTCTTCTCTAGTGAGTTTTGTCTTCTTGTGATGTGCCCAAAGTATGACAGCCTCTGTTTTGTCATTTTTGCTTCTAGGGGAAGCTCTGGCTTGATTTGATGTAGGACCCACTTGTTTGTCTTTCTGTCAGTCCAGGGTATTCATAAAGCTCTCCTCCAACACTGTGTTTCAAATGCATCTATTTTCTTCCTGTCAGCTTTCTTCACTGTCCAGCTTTCACACCCCTACATAGTGAACATTGGATAGACACAGGTTTAAATCCAACACACTATTCATCGAACCATGATGGCTATGAATAGAATGTGTGCACTTACTTTCCTATCTATTTCTAATTGTGGGCTACTGCATTTACTTAGAATGAAATATTTAACTTTTATTGACAGGTTTATATTCTCCACTGGAAGCTTCATAGTTGTGACAATACTGTGTTTACCACTGGTGTTACTAATTTTTAAATCTCATTTGTTCCAGCAGAGTTGACACTTTTCTTGTGGTGATTTCTAGAAATGGCAGATTGATTAATTGTAATTAAATAAAGTTCATTGGGAGAGCTGTGAAGAGAGAACAGCAAATGTCATTTAACAAAGGTTAAAGCCAATGTATTAAGAAAGCCAATGGTAAATGTATTTAATATTATTTATAAAGACCTGTGAATAACAATCCATGATGGAAAATGAGCTCTGTGGAAAAAGGACCCCTTGGCAGGATATAAACAAATACCACACACCAGGAATCTAATGTTTAAACTCAGCTCCCCCAGTATTTGACAAATGCAAGTAATATCCATGAAGTATACTGTCCCGAACATCCCGTACCTTTTCAGTCAAATAAGTTGCCCTAATATATGGCAAGTGGATTTTCTTCCTCATTTCCTACTTATTTGCTGAATATCTGCTCTATGCATATTTTTCTTATATATGCTGCTAATGCATTTTTATTTGCTAGTAGTAGAATCAGGTTCTCTCTGTCTACAAATGACTGTACTTTCTCTTGGCTGTTTCTATTTTCTTATTGTTTCTCCCTTCAAGGTGTCTGATCCTGTTTCTTCATTCAACTGTTAAACCGTATTAAGGGGTCTTGAACACTCTTGTATGTGCAGTTGTACTAGGGATGTGCATTACTAGAAAACTCAAGTTCAGTGGACTTTTGACACATTTTTGACCAGATGACAAAAAGCAGGGTGAGTTGGAGTCACTTTTTCCTGGCTTCCATGTAATTGCTTAAAATATTTGCACAAATTTGAAACTGAGGACAGTATATGTCTAGTGCAATTTGCACCAGTTTTGTAAATTGTGCAAATTGGGGCAACCTAGTTGGATTGGAGTAAGTTTCGTTGTTCTTGTTTTTGTTCTTCTTGTAGCATTTAACATAAGTATGGAAGCATGCTTCTTTCACTACATATGCACATAATCCACATGGACCACCTTGAGTTTTTTATACTTAATTTTGGATTAGTGCACAATTTGAATCTTCAAGCTGCAGTTGGCACAAATTCACCTACTTTACACAAGTTGCAGAGCAAGAGGTCCATATTTAATGGCAATGTCCTTGACTTTTTAAAATAAATCCAGAAATCACAACCTGTTCTAAAAACAGACACCTGTGTGGTGGTTCAGCTCTCATTAAATTGAGTTGGCACCAGCACAGGGCTGATGGAGTCAAATCCATGAGGCTGAGTAGAAAATAATTTTCAGCCCTTTGTTTTATTCCCCATACATTTTAAAATAGTACCTTCACTTTTGAACCCTCTAATCAAGAAGCACAGGATGGACTTTTTTGCCCCATGTTTTGGTAGGGTCTGCCAACCCTAACCAGTTGGGGCAATGGAGAGGGATGATAGCTTAAACATATGGAGATGCACTATTTGCCCATCCCCAAGTACTAGACTTTCTGTATGTTGGGGCTATTTCTTAGTATAACCTGATTTGCCACCAAAATTAACTCTTGGGGGGGGGGGGCTATTGCCAATTCTGGTTACCTGCTAGACACATATCTGAAACTCATGTTTGTCAGTGCAGATTTTGCACATTCATAATCTACTTTTTCAGCTGTCCACCTTAAAAATGTGAAACCATCTCAAAATGGCTCAAGGGGCTGGTTTCACGAAACTTGCACTTTCTGCTTTGCTGTACTTGGGATACCAGTAAAGTAAATCTGAGGACAGATTTGGAGGCTTTAGCTACAAATTCAGTATGGCTCACAGATAATCTATTTTACCTTTGCCTCAGAAATGTGTACGCGTTATTTATGCTAATTGCAAAGTACAGCATGGAAAGCTGTTTCTCGGTGGAGTTCAGCCATCACTCATGGACCCAAAAAGGACCTCAAGAGTGTAGAAGCAGTAAAGCACTGAATGCTTAATAAATTGTACTGAGGCAAATCCTCCCACTCATAATCTTCATCAGGAAAAGGCTCAAATATTCCCTGCCAGGTAATGAAGTCAAGAAGATCTACATGAAGCAGCTTTTCAAGATTGATTGCCAAACCTGCACTGATATTATCTATCTTGTTGGCTTTGTGGATGTATTCAGCATTGAGAAGCCAAGTGAGCATTTCCACCTTGTTGCCAATGCCACAAAGACTGATTTGTCTTCACTGAGTCACACCAGAAGAGGCAAAGTACAAGCCATGCAAGGTTAGGAAGATTTTTGTGGGCACCAAAGGGATCTCATACCTTGTCATTCATTATGCCTGGACAATCTGCTACTCAGTTCCCCTAATCAAGATCAATGACATGATCCAGATTGACCTGGAGATGGGCGAGATCACAAGACTTCATTAAATTTAACACAGACAACCTCAGCATGGTAACTGGTGGGGCCAACTTGTGTCATATTGGTGTGATCACTAACAGGAAGAGGCATTGCAGCTCATTGATGTGGTCCACATGAAGAAGGCCAATGGCAACAGCATTGCCAGCAGGCTTTCTAGTATTTCTGTTATTGGAAAGGCTCCTAAGCCTAAGATCTCCCTGCCTTGTGGAAAGGGAATCTGTCTCAACATTGCTGAAGCAAGAGAGACAAGAGGCAGTAATCAGCCAAACCACATGGAAAGCAACAGAGGTGGGAACACTCTGTACCTAGATAAACGCTTATGCACCCTTTTCAGTCTGAGGGGCAACTTCCAGTTAGGATAATCCATATTCTAGTAGCTATAGACCCATGTTTATACCTACAGAAGAAAATAGCTGCTAGCACTCTTTCGCAAATGTTTGTGCAAAAGTTTATGCAGTATTATACTAGGTAGGTTCTACAGCAACACTGATAGTTCGCCTTATGTGAGAGATTACACAACTGGAAGACCATCTTTGAATTTGAATTTATTTTAAAAAAATGTTCTAGCACAGGAGTGCACAACCATTTTTTCCCTCAAGAGCCTCTTTGCATGCCTGCTGGAGTGGCAGAGTCTACACACAAGTTGACTAGGGCCTACTTCCTTCCACACCTGTCTCCCTCCACACACAGATTCTCTCTCCCCCCCCCTCTCTCTCACACACACACACACACAATCAGATCATGCACATGCTTATGGCAACAAAGCTTGGTTTTGTAGCAACAGCATGTTTTACTTTCAAAGATGTTGGCTTTTCCTCCTTTCCTCCACAGGTACTCCAACTCAGTCATCAAAACAGAGAGAGGGAGAGCGGAAGATGCTCTAGGACCAGGCTCTGTCATTCCTGCCATTGAAATATTATTCCCTAGACCCATGGACCCTCTAGAAATGAATCTTATGAGCAGTGTTATAAAAAGGCAATCTATCTGTGGACCTCAGATCTTTTCGAGCAGTGCTTTAAGTCTTCAGAGCTCCCTCATCTGCTTTAATCAAGCCTGCTTCTTCCTTTTGAAATCAGTACTACTGCAGTTACTAAGAGACCTTAGGACTCACTTAACAGACTGATAGGGAGTGTAGTATGAAGGCACTAGCTGTTTAAACCAATGGGGAGACTGCCGCCTTTTCTTCCTTAGTCTGCTCGTTACTTAAGTCCAGAGCTCCGACAGTTCTAAATGCTGGCAAGATATGGGGCTCAGACACATAGAAACAAACAAATTTGCATGTAGTAATACTGACATGCATAAATAATTAGGAGATACTTGCTTTTTAAAGGAGTCCAGCTAATTCACCTTTTACTTGCTTTCAAGATAGAACTGTGCAGAATCACAGCTTGTGCTTGTTTAAAATTTACCCTACACACACCCACAATTTTCCTTAGTTTTTACGTAGGCCCAAATCCACATAAGGAGAATGGAGTGCCTGCAGTCAGCAAAAAGCTGTGCGCATTTAGCATTTAATTGTAAACAACATGGCACAGTGGCAAGGGAGAGAGTGGGAATGTATGGTAGATTATAATAACACATGTTCTTAGGCTTCAACCTCACATAATTACTAAGAAGTAACTCCCATCAAAGTAGAATTTACCTCTGACTAGTAAACAAAACAACACCAAAAGGCTACTTCAGGACTGGTGTTCATTACTTTGCTACACCTGGACCTCAGACTTGATGAGGAGGCAGAAAAAGTTGCCACAAATGTGGCTCCTCATTTTATCTGAAATACTTTATTTTGGTAGTTTCTGGGTTTCTAGAATGCACTTTTTAAAAACTGTTCTTGAGTTCTAATTTCTGGAAGTCCTAACATCTACACTAAATGTTGCAATATTTCTATGACATGTATGAAGTTCTTTATTCCCTTTGAAAGACATTGAAAATAGTTGCCATCAAATCTTTTTAGTAATGAGTTCTGTAAATTAATTGCCTGTCTAGAACGTGCTACCCCAAATTTTACTGAGTGACCATGAATTTTGCTATCATATGAGGTATTTTTCCTGTTCCATATTCTTGATGTCATTCATAAATGTATGACTCTTTGCTACATCTTTTTGTTCTTTCTTTCAAACTAACAGATTAGTCTCCTTATCTTTTCTCATAGGGAAAGTGTACCCATTCATTGGTAGCCCATTACCATTCTATTTTCAGTAATATGCTATTCTTATAGAGAAGAACTAACCAGAATTCTAAATAGAGCTACAGCATAGAATTACATAACTATATTATGACACTTTCCTATTTAATTTTTAATCCCTTTTCTATTAAAACTGAGTGCTAAATTTAGCCTTTCATGGCAGCTGCACACTTAAATTGACATTTTCAGCGAGCTTTCTGTTATGACCTAAGAACTTTCTTGGTTATTCACAGTCTGCTTAGACCAGTCCGTTTCCAGAAGTCTGATCTAATGTTGCCTTAACCCGGACATGCATTCTTCATGTTTTCCTTCCCTCCCTGAAGCACATTTCCCCTCCCCTCCCCTCCCCTCCCCTGTAATCAAAGTTTTGTGTTGTGTTGTGTAGTGTTGTGTTTTTACAGAAGCTAATTATTTTAACCAGGATTCAAAAATATTATTTAAAGGGTTTTGCTTACTCTGCTGAAAAGGTAAATTTTATTAGCAATTAACTGTGGTTAGCACTAACATAGTTGTAAAGCTAAATAACAGATGAAGTGAACAAGGGAAGGAAGGGGTTGTTCACTTTCCTCTGAAATCCTCCAAATTGCTCAAATAATGTGCATCAACAAAGTGACATTTTGAAGCCATGTGCTCTGGAATATTGCTGATTCTTATAGTGCTGGATCTTATCCAGTTTGATTGAGACTTTGGGCCTGCAAGGGAAGAAGTGAGTTGAGACTAACAGATTCAAGTTGAAGTCAGGTTCATTTAAATTACTCACGTTGAAGTTAGTCAAGTTATGGCGTGGCATATCAGCATAGCTTTTTATAAGTCAGGTTCAGTTAAACAAGTTAGTTTGAAGTCAGACAACCTGAGGTAAATCAAGCCATAGCAAGCCAGGGTACAGTTAATGGGTTTAGACAACATGATAACCCATACTCAGAGTTGTTGAACCATACTGTAGGTTGTTGTTGCAATGTGCATTACAGTAGTCCCCCAAAATTCACAGGGGTTGCGTTCCTAATGCACCCATGAATTGTGAAAAACTGGGAATTTGGTGCCGGCGATGGGCGCAGGCCACCAAGGCGGTGTGGGCGGGGAGGGTGCGGGACAGGCCAGGCTGGGGGGCGGGCACGCGTGCGTGACGAGGCAGGGGCGGGTGCACACAGAGGTTGTTTTCTCCGAGTGAGTCCAAACCGATCTCTTTGCTCACAGGGAGAGGCGCCAGTTTACTCGCAAGGAAATTGGTTTGGACTCACTCGGAGAAAACAATCTCCTTGTGAGCAAGCCGCTGCATGGAAAGTTCTGCGAAAGACTGAGGCCATGAATGCTGAACTGCAATCTCTCAGGGGGTATACTGTATTCTGTTATATGAAGCCAATCAAGATAACAAACCATGGATTCTATTTGTGGGTTGTTCCTAGTTAACAAGCCATGGGTTGTTAGCCTAGCTGGGTGCAGACAAAACAATAACCCAGTAACAACAGGCCCTGGTGACACCCCACACTCAATCCTTACTCAGTTCTTGAGCATGGGTTAGTGTATTTTCTGAAACTACCTAGTAAGTAATTGACATAATCTTCACAGTTTCGTGTGAACAGGAGTCAGTTCCATTGCTACCTGAGTTGTGGTTTCAGCAAATGCCTGGAGTTTTAAGAACCCTGAAGCCTTAAGAAGATTGTCAGGGCTCTATTGTCAAATGGTTTTCATCCCCTGAAAGAACTTGCTGTAATCTTTCAAGAAGGCCATGATAGATTCTGTGGTCTGATGCACCTGCATGTGGGAGAAGTCAGCATTGGACTCAGAGGATGAGGAGAGAGCTACATTTTCAGGCTGGGAGGATGGTATCAAGGGCTCCCTTTGAATGGTAAAGGCAATGCTGGGACGTAGAAGCAGGGGATCTGAAAGTCTCCAGATTTTGATGCCTATGAAAAGTTGGAAAGGCCCATTTAATAGGCCTTCAGGTACAGCTCCCTACTTATTGCAGGATGCCAAGTTAAAGCATCCCTAACAGATGGCTGTCCAGCTGCATTTTGAATTGCCTCCATTGTAGGAACACCCACAACCTCTCTGTTTAATCGGTTCCATTGTTGTATTGCTCCAACGGCTAGATTTTTCCTTCCTCCCTCCCCCAGCCCACCTGTTGCGATTTCAATTTCCCTTCCCCCAGCAGCTGGCATTGTGTATGAAAAGTATGAATGTATATGAATGTAGCTGGCACAACATGTAGATTATGAGGATACTCCACCTGAAGGAGCAGGTTTGATCAAAGTTTCTTGATCAAAGTTTCTTACTTGAAGCTCAGGTCGCCCCAGTGGCTTGGAATGCCTTCTACCAGCTTTGGCTGGTGGCCAGGCTGTGCCCGTATCTGGGCAGGGATAATTTAGTTACAGTAAAATCTATACTGTGGTAATCTGTGAAAAAGATTACTGCAATGCACTCTACATGGGGCTGACTTTGAAGATGGTTCAGACGCTGCTGCTCATGCAGAATGCAGCAGCCAGATTAACAGCTGTGACTCATAGGTCCAAACACATAAGATCAGTTCTGGTCCACTTGCATTGCTTGCCTGTATGCTTCTGGGTCTAGTTCAAGGTGCTGAATTGTAAAGCCTTTAATTTATAAAGCTTTAATAATACCTGTCAGAGTGTCTGTATTCAGACACCATGTTCAGCCTCTGGGGACTTCCTGTGAATG